AGTTATGCTGTTGCGTTATGTGGAGATGAGCAGTGAAACGGAATAGGGAGCTGCTCTGGCTTATAAAATATCATTCCTGCCAGTTGTTTTTGGTTTTGTGGGTTTTCATTGTGTTGTTTTGGTTCGTTTTTTTTTTTTAGCTTAGCCAGCTCCTGCTCTGGTTTGCTGTGTGTGCTCCTTGCAAACGTGTCTGTTATGGGACAGTGGAGACGACATGGACAGGAACCTACAAAGAGAGTGGAAACCGCTTGAATCCTAAAACTTTAGCTCTCCTAATGCAGCCCCTGCTTTTGTTGGGAAACAGTCTGACTTCTAGGTTCTTCTCCTCACAGCTATGTGTGGTTCATTGTTGTTTACTTGTTTGGTTTTGTTTTGTTTTTTTAACCTTATTTTTCATGGAAACTTTTTCTCTGTTTCAAACAGTCAGCTTTCACCGCAGAGCTAGTCAGTGCTAAAGCTCCTGGTGCCTTTGGTGCAAAGTCACATGTACTTATGGATGTATCTGCCTGTCCATGTATTTTTATACTGAAAAAAGTACCTAATTCTGAATGACCAGGCCTAAAATTTGCTTTCTGCCTGTTAGACTTGCAGTGTATGAGAACAACTAATCCTGAGTAAGCAATGGAAAAGAAAACTGGAAAGGTGTTCCAGTTTGCTCTGGGATTTACTTTGCCAAGAACATCCAGTGGCCTGACTGCCGACACTAACTGAACATGGAAACCTTTCAAGCCTGCCTGGGAAAACACAGAACAGGAGAGGAATCTAAAGACATAGACCCTAGATGGAAATAGATTCACTGTCTGCTCTCTCCAAGGCAAGAGTCTGAGAGGTATTCATCCAGGTTTCGGGGTGTTACCTTGCGCGATATGACTTAGTGGTAAACATTTAGTAAAAAAAAAAAAAAAAAAAAAAAAAGCAACAGGAGTTTCACTATTTTGGGCCCTTGCCTGCCCTGTGAGTTAAGTGTTCTCACACTCTCCCTTGAATGGATGGAACCTCTGGAATTCAGCCCTGACCAGAATTTCTCTGTCTGTACCTGTTGGCAGTATTTTGCAGTCAGTTATGCTGGGAACATACCTCATTCATATGTGTGTGTTTGCTCACTGATGTTTAGGGCTCTAAGTGATGATGAATAAACCTTCTAAGTGCTCTGGAGGGCGTACAGCAGCCAGTAGGACATAGGCATTGTCAGGCATCATAGAGAAATGTTCAATTCTTCCCTTCTGCAGTAACTATGTGTAACTTTCTTTCCCAACGTTAATTATATACAGGGTGCTTGTAGTATATCCTGAAATTTACAAATTGCTGTGGAGACACCCTGTGTTTGAAAGGCCACAACTTCTAAATGTGTAACTTGCTTTCCTCCTAATCACGACTGTTATCATCAGTTGGACTCCTCTGTCTAGTTTGTGGTGTGCAATGGTTGTGCTTTCCTCCCAGTGCGTCAGTTTGATTGAAACTGATCCAAGTGTCAGATGTCTTGGAGAGATGGGAATTTACACCTCTGCTACTCTTCCCTTGCCGACCTCTGTGGCACGCACTGTGTCAAAGCCTGGCTGAATGTAATGTGTGGATGACAGCTTGGTCAACACTCCTTAGTATGTAGCACTCTGTGGTTGCTATGCTGGAGTTGTCTGAAGCAAAGATGAGGAGCAGGGAAGTTGTGCTGGCTGGCAGAAGGGAAATCTTTGGAATTTGCGTGCTACGGTGCAGTCTTGTCTGGTAGAAGATGGACTCTCTTAGGTGAGCAGGTGAGCTTCCTGAATTTTTCTCTCATGATGACAACTCTCTCAGTAGCCTTAGTGTGCAGTTCTTTCTGTCGGGCGTGAGGATGCCTTAGGCTTCCCTGAGGTGCAGAATGGTCTCAGCAGTCCTGGCTTTCCCATCACGGCTGGGTCACGGAACCTCATTCTGCACGGATATTAGATCTCTATGAATATTAAATCTGTCCTCAGGAAAACGCCAATCAGAGCAAAATGCAACAGCACGTCTCAGTAACAGGCTGCTACGAACAGATCAGACCTGTCCTCTAGGCTCTGCATGAGTTCTTCATGGCATATATGGGCAGACTAAACAACTCTGATCATATTTTTAGATGTTTAATGGTGTGGGTTTGACACACCTAAGAGATTAAAAGTGGACTGCAGTTAATTCATCTCCTAAAGACTTAAGGGAGCTGTCTGCTACAAGGATAAACCTCGTGTGTGGTAGAGCCAGAAGTTTCTTGGAGGCTGGTTAATGCCTATGGCCTGAGATCCGCCGGGGGAGGGAGGGTGGGGAGAACTGCTGCCATTGCTGCTTCCATGTGCAAGGTACATTGCTTTCTCCTTCTGCCATCTCAAAAATAAGATGCAGTTCTCAATCTCTGCATGCACACGTACATGTACACTCACATGCGCACACACAAACACACCCTTACTCTTAAAAGAAAATTAAATTTTGGGTAAAATGTACATGTGACAGGTACTCGTTTCTGCAGCTGCCTAACGTGCTGCAGGAAGATGACCTATTACAATGGGAGAGGGGAGGATGCAAACCTGAAATGGATATGGTGATTTCAGGAAAATCCGCTGACGTTTTGGATTCACAGAACTTCTTTTTTGATTGCTGTATAAGCTGTAGTTGTCATTCCAGTGTCCAGCTATGTATTTAGAAAGCTCCCTTCTGGGGTACTGTTTCCCTTTTATCCTGTTCCCAAAAGAGTGTTTCGTTGCAAGTGGTCAACATACAACACACTTCCAGAGCCCGTTTCACGTCTGCCCGTAGAAGGGAAACTGCAGCTTGGCTGCATTGTATGAAAGTGCTGGTTTAACCCTGCCTTGGTTTTGTGTGCTGATGGGAGTTTCCTGCGGTGGGCTGTGTTGTGTATCTCACTGCAGTTCTGCTTCTGCAGCCCGTGCTCCCAAACAGCTCGTTCAGCAGTGGTAAGCAAGATCATCCTCTGTGGACGTTCTTCTTCTGTGGCAAATGACGGGGTAGCTTGTAGGAGTCTATCAGCACTGATAGTTGGATTCTCTTCATGTGCTTAATGGAGGAATACAGTTTGAGGCCATAGGCAGGCTTGGAGCTACCTCTTCTTACTTTTTGCCTTTTTGTTTTCATGCTCATCTAATACTAAAGAATGAATTTGCAAACTGAAGGGACTTTTCGTTGCCAAATGAATTGATTTTGTATTTGAGTGGGGGTTTCAGGTTTCACTAAACATCTTTACATGTAGATGTACTGTCTTTACATGGAGAAGAGACACAGAGCGTCTTAGCAGAGCCTTTTCTTCAGCAGTCTGAGAAGAATAAAGCCATAGGGATTTGACATGGCGAACGTATCTTTTTAATTTTTTTTTTCCTTTTGATACTTGATCTTCATTCTGGGACAGGCTTCTGATACAGGTAGACAGCATAATTATTGTTTGTGGATCTCAGTTTTGTGCAAAAGTGTACAAAGTATTAAATGCACCATTTCCTGGTTTTGGAGATGATGATTCAGAAGGTGTTAAGGAAATAAGCAAGATGCTTAGTTCTCTGTAGTTCAACTCTTCTATTTATTTTAGAAAGTGCTGCTGTATTCCCTAGGCAACTGCATTCACAGCCCATCCACACTGATGTACTTCTACATGTGCTCAGCACTGGGCCCAAGTCCCTGATCCTTCTCCAAGTAGCCTGGCCAGCACTAAGAGATAAAATGACAGGATTCTGTATTGTTTATCACCAAGCAAACAGTAGTATGTAAAAGCTGGAGCTAAGGTTGGTAAGGCATGTTAGTAACTTAAAAGTTACAACAACAAAAAAATAAAATGAACAAACAAAAAGCCATCAAAACCAAACTGTCACATTCTGGTAAATTATCCCTAAACCAGGCATGTGTAAATTGCAGGAATTGACTGAGCTTCAGCCTAAAAGAAACTCAAGCAGTGTTTTGCTAATATGGTATCTTCAATTGCAGCACAAGCTTTTTAAGTATCCCCACCCCTGGACTATCACGCATGTGTCCTTCCAGTTTGGATTTCTGTGTCATGAACTACATCAGAGAGCTGATCCAACTTAGAAGGGGAGTGTCAAAGATATTTTTTGTTGAGCTGCCCGAGTTCTTTATCGGGGCCGTAGACATCTGTGGGGTTGCAGAACTAAGGGGACAAGAGGAGAAAGGGCCACACAGTGGTTTATGGCTTGATGGGGGAAATCTTAAACCCCTATTGCTGCCAAGACAATGCGTTGTCAAACTACAGCCTCACACATTCCCTGGCATAGAAACCCTCAGTCGGAGGATGCAAACTGCCTCAGCTCTCTCTGCTCTGCAGCTGCGGGAATGTTTTTGGAGCGAGTATAGACATTACAAACCCGTGCTAGCCGTGGTACCGTTTACAATGAAGCCACAGTGATGTGGGGCTTTGGCATGAGGTGCAACTCCCCCTCCCCTTCCAGGATTCTAGTTATTTACTTAGGCAGGCGGGTCTGAGCTGCTGTGGCTTCACTGCTCTTTTAGCAGGATTAGCTAGAGCTGGCTTGGGAGCCTGACTAGCTCGGAAGCTTCTCTGCACGCAGTTGTTAAGCCTCTCAAGCAGCTATGGATGTTGTGATGCTGTGAAAGTATGACACATGCATTTGAGCCATTGTGTGGCCTGGGATTAAGAGCAGCTAATCTTTCTTTTTACTCAGAAGTTAATTTCTTTTTCCCTTCCTGCTTTCGAGTTAGACCTATGGCTTGACTTCATATTCCTGAAGAATGAATGTGGCACCCAGCAGGAAGGGTGTAGGCCACAGGACAAGGGAACAGTGTTGCTGTGCGCTCCCTCAGTGCAAGTGAATTTGTGACTAACTGTAAATTAGTTAGATTCTCTCTTGCCCCCCAGCAGGTAAAATTTGAGACAGTGAGGGAGAGGAGCAATTTAGAAGAGGGGAGGAAGAGGAAAATAAAGAAAAGGAATATTAAGTTTGAGAAAACTGAAAGAGAATGAAAGGGGCAGAGGTGAGAAAGGTGAGAGGATGGAAGCAGTGAGTAGGGGCATGGTGGAACAGGCTCGAAAGCTGGAGCAAAGCAAGGCCAGGGAGGCCATTGCTGTCAGAGCCAAAGGTGGATGTAAATGCTTGAGGTTTTTAGTGAATGTGGGAATTGCTGATGAGCTGTTGAGGCCACAGGTGATCTTCATTGCACCTGAAGATCGTGGTAGTGCAGGAGAGAGGTACTGTAAGAGAATGTGAGAGAGCCAGTGGTAGAAATAGCTGCTCTTGGTAGCTGAGAGGGCTCGTTTGTGAAACTCACAGCTGTTGCTCTTCTCTGCAGGGTGGGATCTCTTAGAGGTTACCCAAAGAGGAGGAGAAAGGGGGTGTGCTGGTGAGGTGAGAGAAGCATGACACGTGTGGAGTAGTGTCCTCAGTATCTCTCTCTGGTGCTGTCTCAATGCAACATGTTTGAATCCATCATCCTTGTGTGCCTACCCTTTTTATTTGTCAGCAGTTGTCTGCTGTTCCTGTGTCTCATCTTTCTCTGGCTTGGATGGCTTGGTTATTGATGACTCACTGGCTGGCCCTAAAAGGAGAATAAGAACCCTCTTAATGCTCGTGCTACCTGAGACACAGGCTAAGAAGCCAAGTGCTCTTGCTTGGGCCCAGCTGCTATTTCTACTTGCCATCTATCATAGCAGCACCCAGAGCAGCTGGAAGTGTCTGAGCAGGTGGGCTCCTGGCTCTAATCTCTGCTCGAGTCTTTTTGCTCCCAGGTAGAGCTGGAACAGCCTGTGCAGCGTTGTGCTTGGTTTAGGAGATCTGAATAACCTAGTTTCCCTAGCAACAGTGGTCTCTTTAATCACAGAGACACGAGTCTACCTCTGTTATTAGTGTTAAGACTTACGTAGTGTATCTGGCTGCGGTAATACTTTGCTTCTGTTGGAAAAAATGGTAGGATAAAAGCAAGAAGGTCCTTCTGCCTTGGAGATAATTAAAATCTCCATAGGTGGATTTCAGTGCTGTATGCAGCAACAATAGAAAGAAGAGAGATTATAACTACTTCTAAGCGTTTTAATGTGTGAAGGATCCTCAGAGGATACAGAAGTGAAGTTTTAAATTCTGTGTGGAACTTTCTATGCACAGATCTCATGGCAATCTGTGACACTGATAAATTCCTTGTTGAGATGTGTTTTTTCATTTTTATGGATAGGGAGACAAAGTGATTCAAAGGTAGACTGAATCTTGTTGCAAAGCTAGGAATAAATCTCCTCTTCTGAGCCCAAGTTTTCCACCTGCCCTTTCCTTCTGTTTCAGATAAAGGTTTCCCTGTGCAGTAGGAGACATGTTCTATGTTATGGAAGGTAGAAGTGTGAAGCCTGCTTTTTAGCAGGAGAAAGTGAGGAAAGTGAAAATACTGTGATTCACTGCAAGCCTTTCTGCTAATATATTTCAGTCTGTATTCACTCCCCCATTAACAGAAGTGGAGCAAACTATAAATTTTGAAAGTGAGCATTGGGAATGAAAGAAATATTCCTGCCTTGATTTCTGCATGGCAACATAGTCTTGTTACTGTGTGTGTGCAGGAGAAACTGGTTTGGGTAACAGTGGTTTGAAGAAGCTTCTGAAGGAAAAAGAACTCTTGCTTGATCAAAGGCGTGAAGCATACACAAGCGCCCAGTGCTGATGTTCCTCCTTGGATAATGCCAGTGTTAAATTGCCAGTAATATCTTGTAGCCTTCTTCAGTTAGACAGTTGCACAAGGGACAGCTGATTGGAAAACAGGTGTCTCCACTGAAATTATATGGTGTTAGGGGTGTGTTTGGTGTTTTTAATATGGTATAATAGTGCAGAGATGCAAGGAGGCACCATCCTCCTTCCTATTTATAATTCTGGTTTCTGGAGTCAAAACAGTCCCTTAACCTTCCAGCCAAACAGAAGACTATCCATCTTGTGTGTAAAGCGGCTATTTTTACTTTTTCTTTTCAGTGTTTCCTTGCCTGTTCGGGTAGGGCGAGGTGAGTGCCATGCTGTCTTCTCTTCCACATTCTTTTAGCCAAAGAGCTTTTGAAAATTCCAGCATGAGATTTTTTTGGCTTGTAGGTGTTGTAGACATTATCCAACTTTGGGATATCTAAGTCCTTTCAAGCCTCCGTTTACCAAATCAACTTAATAGGTTGTTTTCTAAATGGTTGGGGAGCTCTGGAAACCTCTAGACAAAAGTACCTTCCAGAGAACATGTACCACTTTCTTTTTTTTTATTTTTTCTTTCCTCCTCCATTCCTGTGGTCTTGCACAATCTAATGAGTCTTTTGAAGAGCTCTGAGAGCTTGAGCACAAGGTAATACCATGAGCGGGTGGGTGACATAAAACTCATTGAGCTTGTTAAAATAATATTGCCATGGTCCTTCAGCAGCCTAAAGGCCTTGTTTGCAGCTGTTATTTAGCCGGGTGGTATTTGGTACGAACCGAGACAGAGGCTCACTTCCACAGTGAGTTTATTGTTGGATTTTCAGTATATTGTTTGCGTAAATTCCCTTGACCAGCTCTCCCTCCCGAATAAGCCACATGGATCAAGTTTTATTCTGTTTCACACAAAGTTCACATCCTTTGCTGGAATGAGTCATGCTTTAACTGAGTTTGCTGTGAGGGAGGAAAGTGGGCTTTAAAATGTTACTCCTCCACCCTGCCTTAGTGATGTGTAACAGGATTATTAGTATGCTTGGCAGCTGCTGCTTATTATTTTCACAGAACCTGGATATTTGTGAAAACAAGTAAAAATTGGTTCTACTTGTGTTCAAGTATGAATTTAAAGTGTAATTTTAAGCTCATAAGACAAAACAGCTCTTCTTTTTTTTGTGGCTTTGTCTTCCATCAGGCTCACCTGCTAAAAGCAGATCTAGCTTATCTCCCTGTGGTTGTTTTTCGGTTTTGGGAGAAGAGTTGCATTTTGTGACTTGTAACTGAGGAGGAGGAACTCTGCTGTTTTGTGTCCAGTGGCCCATGCATGACTATTACTGTTACATACAGGACACTTCTGGGCACTGACAGGTCAAAGTGCTTCACAGGCCCATGTAATTAGTAGGTGAGGTTGTCCCCAGCATCTCTCAGGTAAGATGTATGTGATGTGGTGCCACTGTGGAGAAAGCAAATTTTGGTCCTCTGTGTGTATCTCTTTGTGCAGAGAGGTAAAGGACCTTTTTCACCTATAGTAGCAGGAGCTGCTCAGTGTGTCCTTAATACAGTTTTTTGCAGAAACAGTCTCTGTATGCAATTACTAAAGATACCAGAATCAATTTTACTACTTATTTCCTGCAGAAATTCGTTGATATCTCATGCAATAATGGTTAATTTGACTCTTCATACCACCATCCTTTTCTGTTGTGTTTTTTTGAGGGGGCGAGATGGGTAGGAGGGGGCAGGATGGTGGTTTGTTCATTTGTTTAAGGAGTTACTTTCAAAATTGAGGAGGAGGAGCAGCCAATAGAAGAGGGCCTCTTGGGATTTTATTTTTGGTAGTAGCCAGTTCACTTCACATGGAAGACCTTTCTTTCCTAGTCCGCTTGTTCCTGAGAGATCTGGAAAGAGTTACATAGCTCAGGGGAGAAACATACTACATGCTATCACTGATTGCTGAACTGGCAGGGGCATCATCGGTTCTTGTTCTACGGAAAAAACAGAGTCTGTTACCCTAACCCACTACATTCCTAAACCCAGACTGCATAACGTTCATGGAACCTGCAAAAGGATTTATTTTGATGCTAATGCTTTTGAAGGAAAACTTGAGGGAAGGAGCTGTAATTGAATGAACACCAATGTTAGATGTTAGAAAGGACTTTATCTATTAGGACTTAAAATAAGTGAAGTGCACGTTTGGTGACAACATGAGTTTGATTAAATTTATGCCTCCACTTGATCTATATTTAACTACCACACTGACCTTGGGTTTACTGGTAAGTAATCATAATAGCTGGGAGGCAGGCAGTGCCTTGGTTGACCAGCCTGTCTCCTGTCCAGCTTGACTCTGACCACACAGATTTTTCCTCTGTGTTTTACAGATGCTTCCTTCAGTGGCACACCACCTGGCTATGCCTATGATGCAGACCGTGCTGAAGAACAGAGGCGACATCATGATATGATGCCCTATATTGATGACTCACCATCATCCTCACCCCATCTCAGTTCCAAGAGTCGGGGCAGCCGAGACACCCTATCTTCAGGGTCTCTGGAATCTACAAAATCAGTGAGTTCTTTCCTGCCTTTTTGAAGTCAATAAAGCCTTGTAGGTTTTCAAGGGGTAGACTGCTCTAACAGAGAGCAAAGACAGGGCTACGAGCACTGTAGGACAGATTACCTGACATGATATAGCAAAGCCTGACTGACTTTGTGTATTTAAAGCTAAATTGAAGCTTCTAGCTGTTGCTAAGCCTAAACTTCAGGGATAAGTGTTGTGTGTATGATTTTTAAGCTTCAGTTTTTCACCGTTTGTGAATTTTAGTGGAGAGAACTAGTGATTGATCGCTGTTGAGAGGATCTCTAAACACCAGGTATTTTGGAAAGGAGACTCTGAAACAAAACATCCTACAATGTAACATTGATACATCTGTGCGTGTGGGTTGTCATTGACTTTCTCAAGGAAAATAGGAGTTATTTTCAGGTAGGTTGAAGGCTTTGATTAAGCGTCTAGAATATAAGATCTGTTTCCTTCACTCTGTGAAAATGGAATAAAAGTAATTAAAACTGCCAGGTCTGAAGTATGGTGACTTTGGGTGGGAGATGGCCACTTCTTACAAAAATTTGACTATTCTCTAAATAACTATCTATATAATCAATTATGATTGATACAAAGTTCAGAAAGGACCACCTAGCCTGACCTGTGGTTTCATGTGGACCTTCAGGCTATATTGCTTTATTTTTTCTTCAGGTTCAGTAGCATGGCTATAGCTTGGAACTTAAGGAAAATTTCTATTTTTGTTTTTACAGTAGTCTTGGTAGAGAGTCTGCTGCTTGCCTTGGTATATGACTATTGACTCTGCTGTCTTCACAGTCAAAAACGTCTTAGTTTCAGCTTGAATTAATCAGTTTGATTTTCAACCTTTGTTTCTCTTTATCCTTTCGCTTCCTAGATTGCAGAGCACTTCAATCCCATGTTGCTGTTTCCCTGAGTATCTTTGTTATCTGCAAACTTTTTGTTTCCCCAAGTCATTCATGAAAATGCTTAATAGCACAAAGACAACTGTCACTTCCTTCCTACTGTATTTCTAAGGAAGTGTAGCCAAAAAACCTTGAATTCCCACATTGTAAATGACACTTTGAAATCCGTCATTTAAGTGGTTTAACTTACATGTTGTCTTTGTATTGTTCTTATTAAGATGTCAGGGGAGAGAAAGACAGATATTTTACAGATATCAGTGTAGATATAAATCAACACCACCACCTTTATCAGACAGTTTTATTTATCTTGCATCAAAACAATTTCAAGTGTCAGAAAAATTCCACAAAATATTTCTACTTAGCGTTCAGTGAGTGCATCCTTCTATCACTCTTTATTGGTTAGTACCGTATCATGTTTCCTTCCTTTTTCTAGGATGAATGTTAGATTAAGAAGGCTACTTGAGACAGTGTTCTGGTTCTTCTTTCTCATTTATAAAAATGCATTGTCAAGATCTCTTAAAGTGTTATCAAGTACACATATCATTGATGTTTGCTTAATTTTAGTTGACTATGAAGTATGGAATATATTTAGCTGCTTATGCTTTAGTCTATTAATTCTGAGATGCTTTTTTTCATCTCACAAGATGAGAATTCTTGTGATATGTAAGAGACTTTTGAATGAAGAAATGATCATTAATAAATTCCAAAGCTCCAAGAACATTTTAATATTGGCTTGAGATTTCCAGGTTATGTTTCTCAGGATGAAGGAAAAATCCTATGTGACTACATTTGGCTGAGAGTTATCTTCAAAGAACCAGTTGGCATAGTGCTTGTGAGTGGAAGCCTGGAAAAGACACTGCCTAATATTCAATCTTGTTCTTTATTTGTTTGAACGTTGCCTCATAAGCATTTAACAGTGGTTAATTTCAAAGTTACCTTAATAATGCTAGAAGGCTGCCTTTTTAAATGTAATTTTTAGCATAAATGGCTGCTTTCTTCTCTCTGACTATAAATAGATGTTTTATGGCTTCCAAAAGAAAGAGGTATCCTGATACAGATTAGACTTTTAATTGTGAACCTCAAGCGCTTCAGTTGGTCCTGTCTGTAATTAGTCCACAAATGACAATGCCACTCATGGAGGATGGTCCATGACAAGGAGAGACTGATTTATATATGGTTGCAGTATTTCCCAAACAAGTGAAACTTTCTGTTGTTACGAGTTGTGAGATGGCTTTTACTGTAGTTATGTTTTCAGCTTTAGTGGAAAAGACATCAGTAAAAAAAAATTAAGTGTGAAATACACTGTGCTGAGCCAAGCACATAAAACGTGTTGGACCGGAAATACCAGGATGTATGTCTTTTCTATTTTCTTTTTCACTATGCTCGATTAGCAGAAAACATTTTTTGTTTACATGAGTTTGCTTTTATAGTTGTCTCCTTGCCCTCTTACTTCTTTCTTAGGTGCCTGCAATTACTTCTGCAAATTTTAGATGATCTTTATGACCAGAATCTAGAAATCAACAGTTAACTGTATGTAACAACACAACACGTGCACTGTGTACACCACTTTGACGAAATACTAAGTCTGTGAAGTCATTCAGAAGTTAAGAAATGACTGTGGTTATCCAGCCTTGCCTTGTGCCTATAGCTTTTTCTTGAATCTCCGTGATAACTTTCAATTACTCAATCATGTCATAGCTTTTTTTATGGGGCTCCTGTATTGTTCAGTGTATATAGTGAATAATACTCACTGGATTCAGTATTTTATCTCTAGAACTATGTGTACACCTTCTTTACAGGGCACTGTGCAAACTCTGAGTACAAGAGTACTCATTTCCTTTTGGCCTGACCATTAACTCCAAATACAGTTGGAATGCTACACAGGTCTTAATTATCCTTGCAATGTTCCTGTGAGATAAGAGGATGGTATGTTCACTAACCACAGGTAATCAAGGCAGACAGATTACAGGACAGGCATCTGCTAATTTTGGGTGCTTAATGTGAGATGTTTAATGTTCTGCAAAACAAGGTTCTGACTTTTATGCAGTTTTCTTCGCATTTGAAGTAAAATCCCTTTAATTTCACTTGCAACCAAGAGTTAACACTCCAGTCAGACACCTAGAAAATGGAAAACATTGCAAACAATTTTTTTTTTTTTTTTATATATGTCATTCTAAGTAATTCACTTAGCATCCCACAGGCACAGCAGCATTCTGGTGTGATGTTCACCTACCTTATCCATGAGAGTAGCTTTCCTCTTGGAGACTAGTTGTTGCTATCTGGGTATTGAGGGTATTTTGCTTTGACTTAGTTTGCGGGCTTGCTCGGGGCTTTGTATTTTTCTGCCAGGTGTTTGACTAAGTCCTTCCATCTCCTTATAGCAGCTATAGCCTTTGGTTGGTTAGCGCATCAGGGTTCCACTTGGTCTACTGGACACCGTAGAAGAGGTGCAGAGTGGCAAAAGCAATGGCTCTTTCTAAAAGAGAATGAAGGGATACCTCCTGGACTACTCGTGGAGGGGCTTTATGTTGTTCCCTCAGTGTGCAGGGTGACCAGCTCCCAGCACCTCATCTTCTGTGTTCCACGAAGTGAGTACCGCTGTTGACTTCCAGGAGGTTTGTGGTGTTCTACACCTTGTCATTTGGGATCTGTTTTCCAATCCCCCTGCCACCTGCATCATATAGTGGACTGGAAGATGCTGGCTGGTCTGCCTTCAAACTATACCACTTCAGCCACCTCTTATGTGTTCGTATTCCACCTGCTACGTGTCCATTGCACAAACATCTGTTGCTATCCAAAGAGGGTGACAAGTGCAGCAGCATTAGTTCAGTCTGTGACCCGAGAGGACACAGTCAACATGAGCATTTGTCGTGCAGATCCCAGCATCCCCTGACTCATGATTTCTGTGGTAAAGAGGTCTTAACAAATGTTTGCATTGAGCAAGCTAGGTTGTTCCCCCTCTTCTGGCTCTTCCAGAATCTCATGCTGAGCTGCTGATGCATGTCCTGGCATAAAGCCAATGCTTTGGTCAAACTTTGACTGTTACTGTGAAGTAAGCCTAAAGGGGAAAGAGGAAGGAGGAGAAATAGGTTCCACTAATGCTTAAGTTGTTTGTTTATTTAACTTGAGAAGTGATTTCATTTTCCTGAACTTTGCTTTGTCTAACAGTTGAACTGTTGTGATTGAACTTTCCAAAAATTCTGGAAACCTGTCTTGGAAAATGTCAGCCCAGAAGTTTGCCAAATAAGACAGTGCTGGGTAGCTTCAGAGGTGTCACAGTGTTTGTAATAAGTGGCGATAATTCAGTCTCCCAGAAAGGGAGAGAATATGTCTGTCTTCCCCATACAGCTAGGGTGAAAAGTGGAGAAGATACCTGGATGGAGTTGGAGAACAGAGGAAGAGCTTGCTACAGCATTCTTGGGGCAAAGGAAAGTGTTGGGACAGCTGGAAAGTTAGTGACTGCCACCCTTCACTAGAGAAGAGTTATTGCCAAGAGTTTTGGAGTGGGTAGCTTGCAGCTTGGAGGCTAAGGAGACTGAGAGGGTGGGAAGCTTCAGTCATCATGATGCTATTGCTGTTATTTACATGGGGAGAGATTACAGCCATAGGAAGAGTAGAAATAAGAAAGGCCTTTCAAGATTTGCGCTCCAACAAAGCCAGGCTCAAAGACATGTGTGTGGCTCCATGGAGTTGGGCGCAGGGCAGTGAGTGGAAAGGCAAAGCTGGTTTTGCTCCCCCTGGGAAATGAAGGGAGTCACTACTTTAGAGTTTAGAAGATGATTTTTTTTTTTGCCAAGAGACCTCTCCAATTCTTGTATATGTTATGCCCAGGGAGACAGGAGTGCTAAAGCTGAGCGACTAACTCCTACTTTCTGTTCTGTTTGCAGGGGAAATTGGCTGGTACTTAGAGATTTCCTGGTAGAATTTCTCTTCCCTTTTCTGCTGCGTAGTCCATGGTTGGCACAGCATTGGCAGCTATTGCTTGTCTTCAGATGAGATTGTTTTGCAGTATCTGCCAGCTATGTGGAAAGCAGGGCTGTGGCAGAGCAGGTTGTGGACTTTTCTCCTAGTTTGATCCCAAGGGGATCC